TGCTGCCTACACCGACGGCCTGGAGGCCCGCGCATCTGCACCTTTGTACCTGACGCACCAGTGCCGACCCAACTCCACCACTACGCACGCCTCGCGGCGGGTGCGCCGCAGCAAGAAGGTATCGGTCCCTTGAGGGGGAATCTAGCCCTGCTCGCTAGAAAGATTCTAGTTGGGTTTTCGTCGCTTGGCAACGACGTTGCAAAACAAGCCCCCCACCCGGTGTTTGCCATCGGGGTTGGGTTTTCGCCGCTTGGCAACGACGTTGTAAAACAAGTCAATTCACTTCGTGAACTCGGCAACCAGGTTACCGTTTTTTTTTTACCTCCGTTTTTTTTTTTGGCGGTAACCATAATGGTGGTCGAGTAGATCATGTTGTGCGGGGTCGAGAACCCTCACTCCGCGCAAGGGGGATGATCGCACCACGTTGTGTTAAGATGGTCAAGCACCCTCGAGGCAGTTACACAGTGCTTACAACTGTCTCAGGAAGCGAAAGCACCAGAAATAAATTAAGTCATACGCAGCTGTCATCCGTACGCAAGAAGGTAAGCACAAGATGCCGAAAACCCTTAGCAGGATGCAGCGCACCCTTCACGCGACTCGCCGAATATCTCACGGCGCTTCGCGCTCGGTGATGTGAGAGCCTGGTCCGGTGAGAACCCGGCGTGGTCCGTCCCGGCTTTGTAGGGATGCGAGGTCAATGGTCTAACGACTACGGCATGCACGACTATGAGCACACACACACCCCCTCGCTATGGGCCATGCCTACGCAAAACCTTGCCGAGGCAGCGAGGGGAAGAAATATGTGCGATATCAGTAGAAGCTGCAGTGTGCGAGCTCGTGTGCAAAGACCGTGAAGATGGCATGTCATTATCTTGCGGAGTTCTGGTGTGCGGCCGAATTCAAAGACACGGGGCGTCCTTCTGGTGTACGTACGTACTGCTGTGCTCTATCTCACCTGTGCTGTGCGCCCTCGCACCTGTTCCATGTTGCCGAAGTCGACGCTGGCTGTGGTCTAGAGTAGAGCAGTTCAGACTGCCAACTACACAAATGTACCATAGAGAAAGGGCTGTGTCGCATGGTCTTTTTGGCCGATTGTTCCGCAAGTCTACCCTGCAGAAAGTGTAGCTTGCGGGTACAGCAAGACAGCGTGCATGTGTGTAAATGATGCACAGCAGACGAGTCTAGTCTAGGACGAGTACCGAGCATAGAATAGGCACANCAGTTCAGACTGCCAACTACACAAATGTACCATAGAGAAAGGGCTGTGTCGCATGGTCTTTTTGGCCGATTGTTCCGCAAGTCTACCCTGCAGAAAGTGTAGCTTGCGGGTACAGCAAGACAGCGTGCATGTGTGTAAATGATGCACAGCAGACGAGTCTAGTCTAGGACGAGTACCGAGCATAGAATAGGCACACCTTGCTGTTGCTCTTCCTGCTGCGAGTCCAGTCCAACTACCGCCGACAAAAGTAGACAAAGTAGGTGGCAGCTTGCTTCACGAAAAATACATGACCACCCCGCCCCTTCGGTGAAGCGCGGTCTATCTTGCTATTAGGAGCGCGGTAAACTGTCCATTGCATTGTGTTTGTGTGTGTGTACACCTTTGCATTTATATCTGCCGTAGCTGGTCACCCCCCTTGACCTCCACCTACGCGATTTGGCTCCCTGTCTCGCGGGTGTAATTAGGTACCACACCGCAAGGCACGACGACGATGAAGGCCTTCGCGGAGGCAGGGCAGAAGGTGGTTGCGTCGATGCGGTCCAACTCGCGAGGGAACACCACCGTGGTCACCACCATCAGCGCCAATGATGCCACGTGGGCGCCAACCATTATCTTCAAAGGACAGCAACTCCAGCCTGACTGTTTCGCCGAGAGGAACGGCCCGAAGGATGCCAGGTACACGTGCACGAACTCTTCGTTCATGCAGGGCGACGTGTTCGTCAAGTACCTCAAGGACTTCCACAAGCAGCTTGACGACCGAAGCGTGCTCGACGGAAAGCCGCACATCCTCGTGCTTGATGGGCATGCCTCACACGTGAGCTACGAGGTCATCAAATTGGCCATGGAACNTTCGCCTAGCCGTGGTCAAGGAGCGGCTGCAGCACAAGGGGCGGCTTTGCCCGTTCGCCAGCCGGCACCCTCCTTGTCCCGGGTTGGATGGCAGCGGACGCCGACACCCGTTGTTGACGTGTAGCCGCCTATGAGGCTCTCNGAACTCAACATCATCCTCTTCCAGCTGCCCTCCCATACGTCGCACATCACCCAGCCGTTGGACGTCGTCGCTTTCGGAACCTTCAAGAAGGAGGTGACTGAAGTGCTGCAAGACTATTACCACGCAAACGGCGGGTTGTTACCGCTGAAGCGTGACGTGCCCGGCGTGATCGCCGCGGCTTGGCAAAGGAGCTTTACACCGGAGCGGAACAAAAAGCATCCTTCGGCGGGGCGGGGCNTTGGTTTGTTTTCTACCACACTCAGATTAGGATAAAACAAGCTACAAAAGTGGTCAGTTTTTACGTGGAGTCGATACGTACCCTGTTGCACGTTGCTTGTTGATAGTAGCGTAGGAAACGGTGGCGTTATAGCATGCCAATGGGGCGGGGGGGGNACCGCTGAAGCGTGACGTGCCCGGCGTGATCGCCGCGGCTTGGCAAAGGAGCTTTACACCGGAGCGGAACAAAAAGCATCCTTCGGCGGGGCGGGGCTGTGGCCTGTGGACATGGATCGAGCGCTGACCCGGCTTCAGGGCACGGCGAAGTGGAAAGAGGGGCCGACCGGGCGCCTATCCCTAGAAGATGTCCCCATCGCCATGACCCACGAGCAGCTGGAAGAGGCCATCGGAGAGAGGGGCCTGAGGCAGTTGAAGGCGGGAGGACATACCATTACCGGACTCAAGGTAGGCACGGTGATNAAACGGTGGCGTTATAGCATGCCAATGGGGCGGGGGGGGCGGCAGGGGGCGTTTGACCAAAAACCGGGGATGTCGTAATTTTGTCCCCGGGTGACCTCCGGTTTTTTTTTTTTGCGATTAATGTTTCTCATTCATGTCTGAATGCTCCCTCCAAATTTTATGTCGTGGGGATGTATGAACAGTCCAGAATAGACTANTGGCCTTCCCGACGGAGGCAACATCAACTCGAAATAATTTCTGGCAATGGTTGACGCAAAGGAACACGCAGACAAGGCAGAGGCCGAGGCGAAAGCGGAGAGGGGCAGGGAGCGCGCAAGGAAGAAGGAAGAGGCGGCTGCGGCGGCGGCGGCGCGGGCANTTTTTTTTTCGTGGTCAGCTATTGACAGGAGCAACCCGTTCATGCCCTAAACCTAATATTTTTATTCGTTTTCGATGCACATATCACGCCGTACAGGCAAACGGAGGCAAATCCCGCCCCCCACATCTGCGTCAATGACTCGGGGATATCCAATTTTCATCCCCTGGTGGCACCGAAAAAAAAAATTGGTTTTTCATTACGACCATTGTGCTGGGCGCATGTATGCCAAATGTTGGGTTTTGAAACGGTTTCAAACCCCCGCAATCAACCGATCGTCAAAATGGTTGTTAATACCCCCCGGGCTGTTTTACCCTCAAAACTTCAACTTCACTTCAACTTGGGCAAACGGAAACAGTTGTGCCTCGTCACTAACGACGTTTTTTTTGGGGGGGGACAGATAGGTGGTGACGTTAGCTATCGTTCGATAACTAAATATCGTCGTAGTTAGTTTTACTGCCGAAGAACGAGCTTTTGGCGCGGGAGGTGGCTTAGGTGGTTGTTAACACCCGCCGCCACTCGTATCTGTCATATGTGCATGTAGAAGTAGCTTTTAGACAGACCCGCGGGTACCGTAGGTTTTGCACAAGATACCACCTCCTGGAGCGATTTTCAGAGATCGACTGCGGTACATGCTCTGCAACGAAACAATGGCGGCGCCGAAAATGACGACTTTGGACATGTTGAGAGGATTTCCAAAACATAGTCATATTCCACTTTGTGGAACAACACCGATTCTCTACTGCAATAAATTGCTCACAGGGGGGTTGAAATTTGGTCCATCCAGGTGTGGTTACGGCAACCTCTAGTTTTGGCCCCGGGGCTCAAGTTCTTAGATTCGCATGAGTTCACAAGTGGTGCTCACACCCGCTTATAGCTGCAGTTATGAGAAAGGATGAAGACACTGGTTGGTGCATTATTACGGGTGGGTGCTAGTGAAGAGTCGTCACATAAATAACATGAGTCAAGTGAAGCTTGGCAGGACCCGCCACCTACTACTTTGATCGTGATGTATGGCAGTAGGACCCGAAACTCTTGGTCGTAGAATGCATGCATATGCATAGCTCTCAAAATACATATTTTCGTTTAGCAAGCACAGCGACAGAAGCAACATGAAGCCGAGCATCGACGGCACAAACCATTAACCATCCCGAAGAACCGCCGAAACACACGCCGTATCTAACCCTCCCGCGGGTCCAATCGTTTCCCGCGAAACGGACACCGCTCACCGTCCACGAGGAAGGAACGCGGAAAACTTACGGCATACCGCTCGGCAATCGCCAGATTATTTCCGTCGACGGTTATCAATTGTCGCGTAGCTCTTCTTGTGCTAAGTGATACGCATGGCTCGTGCAAAAAGAGGAAATCTCCCTCTTCCCGCCACATCTCACGCTTGCTCATGAAACACGGCCCACAGGGATATTCCTCAGAGAAACACAAGCTCTCTTACGCATTAGAAATTCCGCTGCGACACCATTTACGCCGCAAGGACCGGAGACAGTCTCCAGTCTTGTTCTAGAGCTTTTTCCGTAACGCCTCTCTCGCGGCGAGTTCCTTTTCGCGCTTCTTTTGCCGTTTCAACCTGTTCTTCAGGTTGGAATTTGCCTCGATGCGCGACTCCACGCGCTCCACTCGCGTCTTCTTTGGTTTTTGAACCATCACCTGCATGCAAAGCCGGGTTGGTAGTTAGGGTTGTTAGGGTTGATGCGTGCGACAGTCGTTTTCGGTGCGCTAGGTGGCACGCGCTTCTTCTTCTCAGGGCGTTGCTTCAACATGGTGACCCAATCTCTGGTGGTTGTGCTGCTGCTGTTGTCATCGTCGTTGATGATGACACTGTGCCTCGATGACAACAAAGGCAGGCCTTGGAGCTTGCTGCGAAACGTCGACCAGAAATGGTACAACATGCCATGATAGAGACAAGGCCGCAACAGGTCGAACTGCTGCGTGCTTGCCCGGCCAGGCAGGGGGCGGATAACGGCACGAGGAACGGAATCCGCAGCGTCAGCAGCCGGGGCAGCCGAGCAACGGGAGGTTACGTGAAAACCTGACAAATTACTCCGCCGCCGACGCCTGTACCAAACCAAGACCTACCTCATGTTTTCATATCTCGTGCGTTCTTGTGCGACGCAACAATTTCGTGGGCTTGGGGGTTGGGACACATAGGCCGTGCCTCCGAAACGTCATGGATAGCCTGCGTGTTCTGCTGTTCTAGTCACGCTTCTGGCTGAAGAGTACCAGTGACATTGTAATGATCGACCCTCTAGGCAACAAGACAGCAGTGTGCATAGCAAACCAACCTTGCGGATCACGTACGAAGGACGCCTACAGGCACAACACAGAGGGTGCCGAACTCCGTTGACTTAGCAAGTTGGCTCCGAAGAGACGGACCGACGCTCGTTTCGAGCGGGACTAGGACACGCTTCGACAGCATGAAACAACCACGTGCAGCTAGAGGATGACGCCATCGTAAATTGTCATCGTTGCTGCTGCGTGCCAGAAAAGTGAACCTGTTGGAATCTTACCTCCCATCCATCGGCTTGCTTTGAGCGTTGTTGGGCCGTGGGTAGGCGGGGCGCGTCTGCCCCTGCTGATTGAAACGGGGACACACGATGCACACACGGACACAGAACAGAGCGTGAAGACAAACGCGTGTCCCACACGCGGGCTCCGACAGTTGAAACGAAAGAACACCAGGTGGGACGTCGTAATTTCTTGGATTCGACGTAACCCCCACGGTTTTATTCTACAAGTACGACAATAGCGAGTGCGTAAAAATCGACATGCACCGCTACCATCGTCGCTCATCTGCAGCTGCGTACTTGGCGCTTGGGCTCCCTAGCTACTGCTTGGCACCCTCATGTTTGCAAGGGGGTCAAAAGCACAGGTAGGGCAGAACAAGCCGTCGGCAGGACGCTGAGCTGCTGGCACCACTTGTACACTTTTTCGGCCCCATCTACAGCAGGTGAAATCTCCCCGAATCTATCGCTAAACGTCAGCCACCGGCGGTATCGTCGAGACACGCGGACGGTGAAAAAATGCACACTCTGTACAACTACGGCTAACAAATACAACGAATAGTTGGGTAAAGGACTAACTACCCGTATACAACAAAAAGAACGAATAGTTGGGTAACGTTTCAACTGCCCAGTGCAATCAACTAGTCACCCCAGATCCTGAGCCAGTAGCTAATTGGCCAAACAGATACAACTAAAGTAGTTTGTTCAAGGAATGGAGAATTCCAGACCTTCATCGCTGCTGTCGCCTGAGTCGGAGTCCACCGTCATTGCCGCCGTCGTGCCGCGGGGTCGTACGAGGGCGAGCGGTACCCTTGTCTCTCTCTCGCCGTCGTCGTACAACAGATTTACGAATCCTCCGTGCAACAACTTTCAATCCAACAGGTCCCACACAACGCGAAAACACATGGGCACACAAAGGTCAGTCACATAAGGCAGGACCATGGGCGGGCCTGGTGTACTTAGGGCGGTCGCGTGTAGCCTGTCGAGCATCGACGGACAGGCAACGGGGATCCGCGAAGTACCTCTATCTTGCCGAAGCGCTGACATCATGACTTCATTATCTACCGCCTCGAGAATATTACAGCCGACAGGCCAATCGGTATCACGGCTTCTTGGTCCTTCGCACACGCACACCCCTACGGGATGCTAGCGAACGCCGCGAAATCGTAACGCCGCGCTTTCTCGAACTCCGTCGAACAACCCATGGTACAAGCACTACCCTACCAGCACTCTCAAAAGAAACGCGTTACGTACAAAGAGGGGCGAACCTAGCTTCGAGGAGCGTCAGAGCTCAGCGGGGAGTCCCACACATTGTTGTCCATTGTCAGTCCCCCCACCTCTTACCGACCTTACTTGTTGGGATACGTTGGCGAGGAATACGCACAAAAACAATCAATGCGCAACGGAATGACGGATCAGGTCAATACTTGGCCACCTTAAAAGCAAAAACTAAAGTATCATCAGAAAGATTCTCGGACATGACATCGAGGGAGGGTGATGCCGGTGGAGTGCGGCCTAAACGAGGCTTGCAGATGTCGATGGCAACTGGCCATTGGCGGCAGATTCACACCTTGGTGACGACGGCAGGAAACCACTCCGAGCCTGCCTCAAACCGACCCTCCACCCTATCCCCCACGCCGATTCGCCCGCCATTTCGACGGGCACCCCCTCGGCCATCCCCTGCTGCCATTGTTTTCCCGGCCACGCCCTTATTGTCACCGCTGCTACTACCGCCGGCATGACTTCTTGCAGCCTTGAGCAGTTCGGTGTGGAGGGCGGCGAGGTCCTCTTCTTCTTCGTCCTCCTCCTGAGCCTAGACCATCGGGAACACACACGCAAGAGGGTTGGATCCTTTGGTAAGAGCGGTTTGCTGAGGGTCAGGAAACCCACTCCTCACCACAATGTTCGAATAAACCCGTGTAGATGCCCACTTGTATTGAGGACAGCAGACTCTACGACAAGGTAGCGGGAGAGAAGGGAGAGTGCGCACGCAGTGGGCACGCCTCCGAGACCCGAGCCCCATAAACCCAACCCAGGGTACCATCAGTTTCTATCTGCGAAACCACAAAATACAGCAGTCCCGATGGTATATCCAAACCCGCCAGTGCACACCCTAACACACAAAACCGTCGGCGTCTAGCTCTGGGGGCATTCTCATACTACACTACCTAGTCTGCGTGCATACAGTTGTCCAGACCCGCAGTGAGGAACTACTACTGAGAAATAAAGGCAGGAAATTTTCAAATAAAAAAAATTATTATGTTTACCTTTTAAGCAACACGGCTCAGCCGTGGATCCTCTACGAAATTCCACACAAAAAGCCGTGCCCGAAACCCGATTTTGACGTTCGTTTCTAATCTCCGGGCCCGTACGGTATTTTGGCAAAAGAGCTACCTCTTGTTGGTTGGTTCCTCCCAGGGCAGGCCACTCCTGCGCGTCCAGTTGGTGCTTGGCGTGCCGATTACGAGAAGATCCGTCCTCGCCAGCGCGGCCTGCTGCTGCCGATGATGCAGCAGCAGGCACGGCCTTGCTCTTCTTGCCTGCAAGTGGTCATAGGGCGCGTTTGAGCGTTGCAACGGCGGTGTGTGATCTCTTGAGAATATACATGCGTACCCTAACCCCAACCCTGGTGTTGCTGGGCATGCGGGTTGTAGCTTAGTTTGCCCCGATAGCAGTAATGGGGCAAACACAGGGACGCACCGCATTGAATACAAGTATCATACGTACCCTAACCCAGGACGTGGGTTCCTTGACAAGTGCGTTTCCACTCGACCGGCCGCATGCGTACCTACTTTCAAAGCCCCATTACTCTGCAGCACAAGGGCTGAAAGCTGTGCTGAAAGTGGTGTTGGGACCTTTACACCGAGTTGCCACAATCTACGGTATAAATACCCTGGGGGGTGAAATTACTGGATGGGATTCCATCTCTTGTACCGCTCCTGAGCAGCGAACGGATCTTCGAAGGGTTTCTATTCTAGAGATGGCCGAGTACGGCAGATGGGTAGGGTGAAGGGTGAACAACGCGCCGAGGCCACAAAAGTTTTCGGGAACCGAAACAAGTTCAAGCGACATACCTGTTTAGTGTGGACCAATCCGTGTGTTATCTATGCAATGTACGGTATATATACCCTGGGGGGTGAAATTACTGGATGGGATTCCATCTCTTGTACCGCTCCTGAGAAGCGAACGGATCTTCGAAGGGTTTCTATTCTAAAGATGGCCGAGTACGGCAGATGGGTAGGGTGAAGGGTGAACAAAGCGTCGAGGCCACAATAGTTTTCGGGAACCGAAACAAGTTCAAGCGACACACCTGTTTAGTGTGGACCAACCCGGATATATCCAGTATCCAAGGCACACATGCTGCACGGCTGTACTACATTGTGCATTTCATCACCTGTAGCGGTTCCTTGACAGGAGGTCAATAGACAGGAGGTCAATGGTCCATACTGCTGTACTACATTGTGCATTTCATCACCTGTAGCGGTTCCTTGACAGGAGGTCAATAGACAGGAGGTCAATGGTCCATACTGCTGTACTACATTGTGCATTTCATCACCTGTAGCGGTTCCTTGACAGGAGGTCAATAGACAGGAGGTCAATGGTCCATACTGCTGTACTACATTGTGCATTTCATCACCTGTAGCGGTTCCTTGACAGGAGGTCAATAGACAGGAGGTCAATGGTCCATACTGCTGTACTACATTGTGCATTTCATCACCTGTAGCGGTTCCTTGACAGGAGGTCAATAGACAGGAGGTCAATGGTCCATACTGCTGTACTACATTGTGCATTTCATCACCTGTAGCGGTTCCTTGACAGGAGGTCAATAGACAGGAGGTCAATGGTCCATACTGCTGTACTACATTGTGCATTTCATCACCTGTAGCGGTTCCTTGACAGGAGGTCAATAGACAGGAGGTCAATGGTCCATACTGCTGTACTACATTGTGCATTTCATCACCTGTAGCGGTTCCTTGACAGGAGGTCAACAGACAGGAGGTCAATAGTCCATAAGCGGTAATAATGATTGTGTTTGAACACAGCAAGCACACCGCCTTTTCTATTGACACATGGCTGTTGCTTTCGCTGGAAATATACGGACGCACCTCACCCCCCTGGGCGAGCAAGTGCATGTGTGATGACATATTTTCACCACGGGCATGGCACGGCACCGAACACGGATCTCCCTCACCTGCTGCTGCTTTACCCTTCCTTTTCCTCCGCTTGGACCAGTCTTTGGTTTTTCTGCCTTCCTCTGCCGTGCTGCTGCTGATCACGGAGTCGTCGTCGTAGTTCTTCACCAGCAAGTACACGAACAGCAAAACGACTGCACAGAACACTAATACAGCATTGAGCATGTTGAGTGTGGCTTTACCCGTCTACCCTAGCCGCACGCGTAGCTTATGTTGATTTCAAGCAGTTTCTCCAGCACGCAGTTGGGGGCAATGGTATATTGTCGGCAACCGCTATTTGCACGACCGTCGTGCAAATAAAACCTGCACGACTCCAAACGCCTCCAGAACCACACACCTACAAACCCAATTTGAATCTCACAAAACACGACACAACACCACAACACAACACAGCAAACACAGCAACATCACCACGCAAGCGCCGCATGTCTCTCCATGTACTCCTACAAGAGTGTGGAGGAGATGACGGTGTGCATTCGGAGAGTAGCAGCGCCGACATGAGTAGCAGCGCCGACAGTGTTCGAGCGAACGGAAGCACCAACGGCAGACCGCACCAGGAGAGCATCGCTCGCGAGACCGCACTAGGACAGACCGCACCAGGACAGACCGCACCAGGAGATGTTGCAGAGGAAACGGTGAGGATACGAACGTTGAAATATGTGTCCTGTAAGATTACCTTGGACGTTTGGATCATGCCTTCTTCACGAACTACTGTCTGGATATAAGACTATATGTGTAGACTAGTCTATCTACAGAAGTATCGAGATTTCGAATTATATTCACGAACTACTGGTATGGATATAGACTATGTGTAAGATCAGCTACAGCAGTATGTAGATTTCAATA